CCCCCCCCCCCCCCCTCATTATCACACCCAAAACACACCCGTGGGTACAGTCGTCCCCACTTTAAAGACACCATTTTTAAGACACTCCCCGCTTTAAGGACACAAAATCTCAGAAATATTGTGCCCCGCAGATGTGAAAAAGTAGGGGGGGTAGGGTTTTCCATCATTCGACCCCCCCAGAAAATGTGCTGCATGACCTGTAGATCCTGGATCATCAACAGCGGTCTGCTGCAGCCGCACACTGCGTGTGGGTGTATGGAAAGATTCATTCCATCCGCTAGCGGGGAGCACGAGAGCGCGCTCAAGGACAAAGACACGCGGTTTTACCGAGAAGACCCGGGGGCGGCCGCCCTGGACGACCTGTGCGATATGGTCGAGAAGATGTCCATGCCGGAGAGTGCCAAGGACCTGGACGCTAGGTCTAAACCGCGAGTGTTGACGGACAACTTGTTCGTCGAGAGCGCCTCTGGCCTCACAGAAGAAGAAGTGCGCAGCGCAATGCGCACTTGGCTTAGTGTATAGGACGACGAAGTGGTTTTGAGGGATGAGGTAGAACTCGAGATGGAAGAGGTAACGGAGAACATGTCAAACGTACACGTCGAGGAGGACAAGCGAAGGGCAAAGGAGAGGAGGGAGGTGCAGGCGACTGTTCGGGATATGTGGCGGGTGTAGTTTTTGGTTTCGAGAGCGAAGCAATTTCATTGCCAACGTTCGTTGTTTGCCTCGGTTTAGGGTTAGAAGTCTCGTGAGGTTGAATTTGGCGTTTGTGTTGTGTTGTGCCTCGTTTTGACCTTTTGGGAGGCGCGGTGTCCTCTTTGTCGCTGTGCTTTCCCGACATTTTTGGTCTCTGTGTTTCTGCGTATCCTACATTTTCCTAGCGTCGTTTTACAATCTTCGATATTTCTCAGGTGTGGTAGCGAGATCTCGGGCAAGATATTCACGGGGAGGACAACGCCTAAAAAATAAAATAAATAAATAATTAAGCCCATACCTACACCAGCGCACTACCGTCGTGTACATGTACGATGCGTAGGTCGTAGAACACCATCGCTTTCAGCATTTTGGTGGTACAGTACGGGGAAATTCAAACGATGGTATGCAAGTATGTATTGCAGCACAATAGCAGCAGTGGTTGCGACCTTCAAATCACCTTGTGTCGTATGTTTCAAACAACACCTCTTGTGGTCGCCTTTCTGCTGCGAATGCGCACCTTTTGACATTTGTTTCGCCTTCATTGGCCCCGGGGATGGTGCGTTAGTGGCCCCAGAATTTCAAAGACACTTCCCCGCGTTGAAGTCACTTTTTTGGGGGGGAAACGGGGTGTGTCTCTAAAGCGGGGTCGACTGTATTCGGACGTGCTAGCCCACCCCCTAACCCCCTCATTTATCACACCCCAAACACACCCTGTGCGTGTTCGGACGTGCTATCACACACCCTTGTTTATCACCCCCCCTTAAGCCCTTAAGGGTCCAAGCGAGCTGCACTTTATCACCCGGGCTACATAAGATACCACACCCCCCACAGGATACCACACCCGGTGATAATATTTTCCAGGGATGTTCACGGTGCGGTTTTTCTCGACGGTGCGGTGCGGTGCGGTGCGGTTTAACCGCACCGCATCGTACCGTGACATTTCGAGTTGAAAAAAAACGTGAGGATTCACAAATAACCGTAGTTGCGGTTTTATGACGGTACGGTTTGCCCCAGCCCGTAGCCAAAACCACAACACACCGCGGTAAAAACCGCAGTAAACCGCGGAAAAAAAAGCAGGTAAGGCACGGTTTCTTTCGTCGTACAGACACACACCGGCTGATAATAAAACGCACACCAGGAACATTGAACATTGTTTTTCCTTTTTTTTACCAGAACAAACGCAACACCATGTTCCCACACCACGCATCCTGCCACACACACACCGCCACTGCGATACGCTCCGTGCACAACTCTGCCCATCTCTGATGGAGTCAACCCCCGACGATGGCGACCAGCCTCTTGCAGAGGTGGTCGCCCCGCGTCCATATCCGTCTCCCGGTGGTTCTACCACTGCTCTGTCTGCTGGTGCTGCTGCTGATGCTGCGCAAACTGGGGACACCCCGAAGACAGTTCACAGCGTGCAACGCACCGCCGTCAACGCACTCGCGGGTTGTAGCCCGTGGTGGGTATGAGCCGCCTGCCTGGTGGTGCTCTGCCAGATTTTTTCTTCATTTTTTCTAGCATATTCGCGTATTCGCATGTATATTCCAACAGTAGTAGTAGTAGTAGAAGCAATTGAGGAATGTAGCTCGTGGTGTAGGAACGTATGGTGACTGGGAGTAAATGATCAGTGTAGCTTCTCCTTTGGGATTTTCGGGTTTTCTGACCGCAAGCCGCGGGATCTGTCGTGCCGGCCTCATTTCAATGGACTAAACCTAACGTATTCCACGAAAAAAAAAAAATCATGGAGACCCCATCATTTTGTCACGGACAACCGTGGTATTCTCCGTGGTGTTCTTCGACGGTGCACCGCCGACAAGGCCGAGGTTCGCACGGTTTTGGTCATGGGGTAGAGAAAACCGCACCGTCAAAAAAAACGTGTGAGGGTGAACCGCACCGCACCGCACCGTCAAATTTCGACATGTGAAAAAAAAGCGCCGCACCGCACCGTCGAATTTGGAGATGGTAAAAACCGCGCCGCACCGCACCGTCAAACATCGAGATGAAGAAAACCGCACCGCACCGCACCGCACCGTGACCATGTCAAGATACTTAAAACCGCACCGCGGTGCGGTTCCACACCGTGAACATCTCTGATGTTTTCAAAGCCCAAAATGTTATCACCAGGGTGTGTTATCTTGTGTCGTCCACTGCTGTATCTCAAACCAAGATAAATCGCACAGAAATACAATAGGTTATTGTTCACAACCTTCCAGGTGTACACGCGAACTTCCGTTTGCTCTATTGTTTCACCAAGGACGCGTTAGGTGCAGGTCAAGTGTCCTACGCAGACTTCAGTTCGTACGTTCGTACTTGTATGCATACGCACTGCTGTTGAGTAGACTACACATCCAAGAGCCTCAACATGACTGCTGTCAGGAAGTTAGCACACCAGCAGATAGCTGGAACTCCGAGCAAGCTTTCCAGCTCACGCACCTGAAGAGGAAAGTCGCGCCCAGATCCCATCAAATCCATTGTCACAGCTCCATTTTCCTGCTCGTCCTCACCCCCACCGTCAGCACCCCCACCATTGTTAGGCGGCCCGGGCTTGATGACGTCCGGCATATTAAACCCCGGGTGTCTGTTCGCGTGTCTCTTGACTCTTACCCCGCAAATATCGGGGTGTTTGTAACCAATCCTCCTTCCTTCGAAATTCAGGGATTACGTGGTCGTAGCGTCTCTCCTCTTCCTCTGCCTGTTTCTCTCTCCGCCTCTGTTTGTCCCCCTGTCACCGACGCGCTGGGATGTGTGCGATGTCAGTGAGTTGCACTTCACTCGTCCTTGACGGGGCTCCGCGGGAAAGAAAAAGCTGGGGCCGCATACCTCTTCTGCTCTGCAACACCTGTGGGTCTTCCGTCGGAGATGACGGAGATCACACACGCAGTTTGTTCGCGATCTTCAACGGAAATATCTTTTCTTGAACTGTACAAGCCGCATGCTCCGGTCGTGCATTCGTGTCGAGGAAAACCAATCCAGCTGCGGCTAGCTGTGGCCGACTGTTTTGCTCTCTTTACCTGGAAAAGTGAGATCAAACGTGCGAGTTTCAAGAGTTACAACTGTAGTATTACGGTGGAACATAGTAGTCAAGACCAAATTAGAATATTGTGTAACTTCGTCAATACGGAGTCCCCTATCACAAACTATAGCGCAAACTGACGACAAAGCACAGAGCTCTCTTTCTAAAAAAAAAAAAAAACACACATGTCTTCGAGTAATATTACGAATTTAGTGTGTGATCGCACCCGGCGAAGTTCCAAAAATGTTGAAGCGCGGTGTTCCAACGATGCGGCCCCAGGGCTTGCACAAGTAATCCATATATTGATTGAACAGGATGATACAGCCATCTCAATTGCGAAATATCAAACAATATGTCAGCTTGCACTCAGAATGGCGCCTTCTGTGCAGCCCCTTCGTGTCGCTGTGCGGGAATCAAAGTCGAAAAATATTGGCCCAAAAAAGGGCATATGTTTTTGGCTTTTTTTTTTTTTTTTGCATTTTTTTTCAGCCCTCAATGGCATTTTCCGCGTCCTCACCCAGCCACTCATCCGTCTGCTCCTCCACTCCATCCTCTATCTCATCCTCGGCCGTAGCCTCTTGGTACTCTGCCACTGGATACTCAAGGCTACCGATCGTACCGCTCAGGTTTCCACCATACAGGCCGATCCACTCGTCCATCTTGCCAATGGTATGCTGCACCAACTTTCCACAGTCGGCTGCCTTCCACCCCCCCTCCTGACCGTCCCATTCCGGGTCTCCATACCAACCGAGACGGATTTGCTTCCAGACATCCAACATGTTCCGCCCCTTCTCAAAATGAATGCTCACGTAATGCTTGCCGTGCTGCCAGAACAGCTCGATCGGCTGGAAAGTCGGCATGTACGGCGGTGTCCAAATTAACCCCCACCCCTTCTCCCTCATGTACGTCTCAGCCTTTTCCTCGAGCTTTTGTGGAAAATTCTTTTTGAAGTACGTCCGAGTGACGGAGGCTATCTCTTCTTTGCTGACGCCGTTCTTGCGGTTCGCATTGGGTAGCGACCCCTGCGCCGGGACCTCAAAGTTGTACTCAGCAGCCTTACCCTCCGACTCACGCGTCACCTTGAACGACGTGCAACCGTACTTGCGCAAGAGTTCGACGTTGTACTTCTTACTGTTGGTTTCGGGCACCTTAACCTCCTCGTCAAAGCAGTGGTGGTATGAGGCGTTATCGAGAACGAGAAACATCTTCTTGTTCTTGAACTGCGCATCGAAGGCCGGGGTAAGTCGGTGCTTCAACCACTGCATGAACATCCCATCCGTCATGGCGTTATGATAATCTCCGGTTGCCAACTTGGCCTGCCACAGAAATTCTGCTGTCTGCTCATCTGACATTTCGAAATCCGCCTCGCCAGGCTTAATCTTCTTCGCACGATTTTCCTTAGCCTTGAACCAACCTTCACGGATAGGAAGTCCCTCCTGTAGCTCGGCCAAGGGCCCGTGCTTCGTGATCGCGTGCACCATGATCATACGCAAACCTTTCCCCGTTATACGGCCTATCCCATCCTGCACAACCCCCGTATCGTCAGAAGGAAAGTACGAGTACGCGGAACCATGCGCCTGGTGAACAAAGCTCTCATCCATGTACACAATGACTGCGACCCCAGCGTCCTCGGCCCTCTTCGCGAGGTCCATCTTAACAGGAAGAGGCGGATGCGGTTTTTCCTCTCCTCGTTCAACGGGGATATTTTGATCCTACCCGTACGGCGCTTGAAGCCAAGGCGCTGCAGCAACCCTCCCACGGCACGATTCGACATCTCTAATCCGAACGAACACTCCAAGTA